CTGTGCCCCCCACCCAGTGTCACCCCTACCTTCCTGGGCCACAGTCCCTGTAAGCCCAGCCAGGACAAACAGCCAGAGCTGCAGTTGACCCATAGTCAATGCTGGGTGAGGAGCTGGGTGGGCACAGTGCTGCCAGGGCTGGGTTTATGGCATGGAAAGTGGGAGGGGACTGGGAGGGGAGTGTGTGTCCCCAGTCCCAACCCCAGCACGGCTTGGCATGCCCAGGGAGAGTGATTTCATGCCATCACGAGGTTGTGCCACAAGACCTTGGGTCACTTGCCCATGCACGGGGCTCCCCTTGAGATGGGCCCTGGGTGTGTGCCCAGCAGGGTGTTGGGGGCACCCTGGGCATGGGCCCACCAGGGTGGTGAGGACACCCTGGACATGTGGCCACCCAGGTGAGGACACCCCAGCCATGTGCCCACCAAGGTGATAGGGGCACTCTGGACATATGCCCACCCAGATGGTGAGGACACCCTAGCCATGTGCCCACCAGAGTAGTGGGGGAACCCCAGCCATGTGCCCATCAGGATGGTCAAGACACTCCAGCCACATGCCTGCCTGGATGGTGGGAGCACCCTGGGCATGTGGCTTTGCCTCTGTCCCCTTATCTCCCTGCCCTGGGCAAACCCCTCTGGGAGTGACCTGGTTTGATCAGGGCTCATCTGAGGGGCACAGGAGGAGGTGTCCCCAGCCCCCTGCCCTGACCCACAGCTCTTGGGCATGTCCTGAGCACTGCCCAGGGGATGGAGCTATGGGCACCAGGTGAGAGAAGGAACCACAGCAAAGCCAAGTGACTGAGGGTCCAGTGTCCTCCTGGGGTGACCATGGCCTGGAGATCATGAAGGTGTCCATGTGTGCTGGGCACAGGCAGGGGGAAGATTGTACCTGCTCTGAGTGATGGTGTTGGGCTGGGAGGGTACCAGGCTGAGGATGTGGGACCACTGCAGGGCTTCACCAAGGGGCACAGCAGCAGCAGGATGTATGCCCCATGCCAGGGGTGATTTAGGCTCCTTCCCTACCAGTCAACCCCTCAATTTAACCTGTGGGTCCTGCAGGGCTTGGCTCAGCTGGGGCAGCTCCATCACTCATGTCACATCCCAGTGCCGTGTGACCACACGTGCCCATCCCTCGTGGGCTCCGATGCCTCTGGCAC